TGAAGCTGCTCTCCACCTTACTTTGTCTGAATATTAGGAAATTTGTAGTGCTTAGACATAGCTATAGGTAAGTAAATGTGTACTTCCTGGTCAAATATAAATGCTTTGAATTCTATGATGTAATCCCCTCTTTCTAAATGCTGCCTGTATTACTTTTAATTCTTTAGTTACTGCCCCAAGTTCCATCTCTGAATACCATATTTTCCGGCGTATAAGACGACTTTTGAAACGAAAAAAAGTCAACCGAAAATCGGGGGCAAAAGACCAAAATTGCACAAAAATTACCTGCAGATCTTGACGGTAAAGTAAGTCTTTTCTTTGAAGTGGGGGGTAATCTTATACAGGAATATAGGCCTAAACCTACGTTTTAACTGTAAAAATTAGGGGGTCGTCTTATATGCCGGAAAACACGGGTTTGCAATTCTTCCAACTACACAGGTGTTGAGGAGCACATGAGACTTGGTTGGAAAGTTGGAAGGAGGACATTCTGAGAAAAGGGAAGTGTGTGGAAGGCCGCAGGCCCTGTTTGCTGAAATTCCGGCTTAGGGGAGATTTAGGGGAGTGTCGAAGGCTGCACCCCTAATTATTCCTTGACCTTTCCACACAAGTCTGTGCACAAGCACACCCCTGGGTGTTTACTGGAATTCTTTCGCCTAAACCCTGGGTGCCCTTGCCTGGAGGACAATGTAAACATGTGTCCTCCAAGATTACTCACCCTGCTGATAGTATCTAAAGATAAAAAGTCCAATAAAGGCCTAAGGAGGCAGGTGATAGGGGCTGCTCTGGCCACTAGATCCAGGGGCCCCTTAGCCCTCTTTCACAGACAAACTGTGTCTGAGTAACCTGTTCATCCATCCTCAGGGGCTGCTAGCCAGCCCCCCCTCCCCCCTACAGTGATTCTTCTTCCTCTGACCTTGGAGACCCTGATTATATACCTTGCTAACAATTCAAGGAAATAAATGATCATTTCCCCAAATTTATGTAACTCATCTCTCCAACAAGTTTTCAAGTCCTTTAAAGACATTTTTATGTGTTGTCCTTTGCTTTCACGTTACTTATGATGTATGTACATTGTGGTTTCCCAAGAAGAGTGCCTGGAGCTATTGATATCTATGTTTCTGGTCTCTATTATCAATGGTAATTAAACCTTCATAATGTACAGCTATTCATTTCTGGCCTAAACAGCTGGTGTCTGCAGACAAGGCCAGCACATTTCCATGATGCCAGTGGGCACCATTTATTCCACTACAAAAAAAAGAAAAAAAGAAAAAAGTACTCCGAGCTGGAGGAGGCCAGGAGGGTAAACTGTGGTCACACTGCAGAAACCTGGGCACTGCCCCACCCTGCATGGCAGCAGTGGGCTCCGGGCATGCAGGACCGAGATCCCAGACTCTCAGAGACTCCGGACATGGGGAAACAGAGGCCCACAGAGGGAAGGGCCATAACCCCTCAGCAATTCACACCAAGGCCAGGCCTCGAACTGCAGGCTCCAGGAGGCCTGTGGGGCAGGGTTTGCCCATATCAGACCTGGACCTGACCCTGTGCTCCCTGCACCCCGTGGGCTGTAGGTGAAGGTCACAGTAGCAGGGAAAAGGGTGTGCCCTGAGGCATCCACGTGTCCCAGCTCCGCATTGCTCAAGGTGAATGAACCCAGGAACCTGCCTGGCGCTCCAGCCCCTGAACAACCGATCGCCCCCACCCCGAGCGGTAACCCTGGCCTAGAATGCCTGTGCCCGCATCCTTCGGGGCTCGATGTTCTGGGGCAGGGTCAGTTCTAGGATCCAGGTCTCTCCTTACAGCCCTGTCTCCGTTAAACCCTTTCTTCTGGCTTGAATGACAGAGACCTGGTCTGGGCCACCCTGTGTCCAGAGCCCAGCGCAGGGCACAGAGCAGACCCCAGGCAAGGCTGACCAGCGGGCAGGCAGTCTGTGCCCTCCACAATTCAAGGAAATAAATGATCATTTCCCCAAATTTATGTAACTCATCTTTCCAACAAGTTTTCAAGTCCTTTAAAGATATTTTACGTGTTGTCCTTTGCTTTCACGTTACTTATGATGTATGTACATTGTGGTTTCCCAAGAAGAGTGCCTGGAGCTATTTTTTTTGTATTGGAATAAATGGTGCCCTCTGGCATCATGGAAATGTGCTGGCCTTGTCTGCAGACACCAGCTGTTTAGGCCAGAAATGAATAGCTGTACATTATGAAGGTTTAATTACCATTGATAATAGAGACCAGAAACATAGATATCAATAGCTCCAGGCACTCTTCTTGGGAAACCACAATGTACATACATCATAAGTAACGTGTGGTGCCAGCCTCCTGAACCCTGACAGAGATGAGCCTGTGCCATAGGCACCACAACACCCAGATTGTGAAGGTCTGTTTGTGGTCGCAAACACCAAAGCCACAAACCACCCTGGGCAGGGCCCAGCTCCCTGGAGAAGGCAGGTGGTCAGGGTCCCTCTGTAACCTGTCTGCTCCTATCAGAGGGTGAGGCTGGGAAGCACAGAGGGAGGAAGCCATGGAGAAACCACTATCCTCTTCACAGGAGCCACCCTGTTCTTCAGAGGCCACAGTGTGTGTGTGTGTGTGTGTGTGTGTGTGTGTGTGTGTGAGAGAGAGAGAGAGAGAGAGAGAGAGAGAGAGAGAGAGAGAGAGAGAGAAAGTGAGTGTGTGTGTGTGTGTGTGTGTGTGTGTGTGAGAGAGAGAGTGTGTGTGTGTGTGAGAGAGAGAGAGAGAGAGAGAGAGAGAGAGAGAGAGAGAGAGAGAGAGTGTGTGTGTGTGTGTGTGAGAGAGAGAGAGAGAAAGTGAGTGTGTGTGTGTGTGTGTGTGTGTGTGTGTGTGAGAGAGAGAGAGAGAGAGAGAGAGAGAGAGAGAGAGAGAGTGTGTGTGTGTGTGTGTGTGTGTGTGTGTGTGTGTGTGTTTGTGGCTGGGAGTGGAGGCTTTTCAGTGAGACAGACATTGCCTCTGCCATGCCCTCACTGTATGACCTCAGACAAACTACATCTCCCTGATTGTCCATTTGTCCATTTCCATAATGGGAGGTTCAGACAGACGAATGAAAAGGTCCTCGCTCAGCTTGTGGGACATGGCAGCAGTTTTCTGTAATTATGCTGACATGAGCAAGCGTCACTGCATCGCCAAGGGGTGCCTGAATGTTTACATCATGGGCATCAATGGCGAATGTCATCTCTTCTGGGGCCAGGGTTTGGACTGAAGAGGAAGCTCTAGGTAATGGGAGATTCCAGGCCTAAACTCAGAGGCCCAGGTTCTCACTGCAGCTCTGCTTCTGCCTCCCCATGTAGCCTTAGGGACTTGCAACTCATATTTTAGGTCCTGGTTTCCTCATGTGTAACTGGAGAGGGATTACATTCCATGAACCCAAGGGTTCCAGCTCTGACATGCTAAAGTTCATGAGCTGTGAAGGAGCCCCTGTCCCTTGCTGGCCCACTAGAGAAGTGCTACCTGGGATAGAAAAAAAAAAGTATTCCACTATTTTAAGATAAAAAAGATTAAATGTGAAAGTATTTTCCTAATGTTCTACTACTGCATAACAGGAAAATGCCTGGCCTCAGAGATATTCCAGATTTTCACTGTAGTAAAAGCATCAAGTATTTTACTGGATTTCTGGCTTGAAATTATCAAATAGAATGGTAACCATGTTTAGGGGTCCCAAGGTTATGTGATAATTCCCTCTTTTATGCTTTCTGAAAAATAACCCTTTGACTTTTGCCTGTTGAATCATCCTAAATATTTCATTAGTCCTTTGGCTGCATAACATTTCTTTTGAAGGTCACAGATTCCTTTAAGATCTATCCATCTAACTATGATTTACAACTAATTAAGGATGTTAAAAAAGTTGTTGCTAATAGTAATTCAAAGCCCTGATGATAGATAGCTCTTGGCCTTTAATACTATAAGCAATCTGAGAACTTAATTATGCTATTTTTTGTTTTTACACATGCAATAACTGTTATCAAATAGGTATTTATCTATGAAGTATTTGCCTTGTTAAATGGTGAAAAAATTTAAACCAAATTAGAACTGGGTGTTGCCTGAAAACTATAAGAGAAGCAGGACCAGCGGTGTGAATTGTACGCAGACTGTCTGGGCAGGGATTCTGGCTCTCCTGCTTCCCAGCTCTGTGAGTCTGACCTGTGGTGACACTTGTTTTGCCTCAGTGTTCTCACTTGAGATATGGGTATGATAGTCAAACCTACAGTTTTTATGAGACATAAACTCCAAAGCACATTTCCTGAGGCACCCCTTTCCGAAGCATTTTCTCTGCCCCACAGCCCCCACCACTTCTTTTTAAACTATCTCCTTCCTCTAAGAAGGGAACATTCATTAAGAATAATTTAAATTTAAATAATGCAACACTGCCAAGGTAACCTATCTAAAAAGTATCAGAGATACATGTAAGAAATTATGTATAAAGTTTATCTGATACTGAAAAAAAAAATAGAAACAACCTAAATATTAAGTAAAGCAGGGAAATGGCTAAATAAAATAACATATATGCTCTAATGTCACACAGTGGAAGTCAGTACACAAATAACTTGGTACACAACTGTAAGTATAATAATATGATCATTAAACTACCAGGATCATAAAGTTCTTGTATCCATAATAGATCAAAAGGGCTTAATACAGAAACAGGTATATGAAGATTACTCTTAGTAAAGATTAGGAGTTACTAATACAACAATGTATAAATATTTATATATTCTAAGAAAATATACCAAAAACATTACCAATTTCTCTTTTGTTACATTTACCTCTTAATAGAAATCTCTCAGTTTCTCTATAACACATGCACATTTCAGCAGAAGGTATTTCTGGTTGCCATTTCCTTTACTTCTCCATCCACCTCAATCAATCTGTCCTCCCTACTCCAATGGGCAATTCACAGCAAGCATTTAGACATTTAATGATTAACAACCGAAATAACCAAATCACAAGGATTTAACCACTCTTGTTTTTGAAGGAAGAGTATTACCTTCGTGGGAGATTTCCTTCCAGGGGTTCGGTGGGTACATGAAAGCTGCATTCTGGATCTGGTCGTGTATGTCTTCATCTTCATTGAATGGGAAGGTGCCGCTCAGGCTGACGTAGATGATCACCCCGACGGACCACATGTCGAGAGAGCGGTTGTAGCCCTTGTTCCTTAGGACCTCGGGGGCCAGGTAAGCAGGAGTGCCCACCACCGACCTCCGGAAAGACTTCTCTCCAATGATGCGGGCAAAACCAAAGTCACAGAGTTTCACCTGTGGGTGATAACGGTGTGCGGAAATAGGGAGGTCATAAACCGTGTCTGTGTCTTAGCCCAGGTTCACCAAAAAATAGGCTCTATGGCGGTCTCAAGGTAGAAGTAATTAATAGCTGTTTTCCATTTTACATACTTGAAGATAGTGGGGTATGTATTGATACGTTGAGTGGTTTATGGATTGTATGTTTTCATTCATAAAAATACCATGTAAACATTTCCTTCCTCCTCCACCCTCTGATCCGAGAGATACATGTGAAATATGAATGCTCAGTGGTGGGTAAGCTTGTTTTACAAGGCAGTTAAACATCATGCGAATCAGGGAAGTGACAAGATGAGCTGGAAGGTTCCATATAAATAAAGGTTGAAGGATAAGCATAGAACACGTCATGCCACCCATAATGAGCCTCATAATTAGCTCTTCATGGCACCCAGGCAGGACCTGAAGTTGTCCGGGAAGCAAAGCAGGACCGCCACCTTGGGCAAGGACTCTCTTGGGAGATAGAGAGGGAAAGAGCCAGCTGTTCATGGTCCTTCAAGTTGAGGAAAAGAAGAAAAGTCTGCACTTGTCCCTGAGAGCAACAATGAGCTCTAATGTCCTGCCCGGTGTGAGAGAGCTGGGGGCATCCCCGGGCCTCTGCAGAGTCCTTCCTCTCAGAAGCTGAGGGCTGAGTGAGAGGGCAGGGGGTGTGCTCCCAGGCAGGCTGACTGAGACGCCAGATTAAACGCCGCAGTCCCAACAACAGGAGGGTCACAAATGGATGGAAATGAACTTGTAAAATTAGGAAAAAGTAAGGGGAAAGATGATGGAGCCATAAGTGGCATGTTGACTCAAAGGTCCCAGGTTCGATTCTGGTCCGGGGCCTGTACCTTGGTTGCAGGGACATCCCCAGTGAGGGGTGTGCAGGAGGCAGCTGATTGATGTTTCTTTCTCCCTCTCCCTTCCTTTCTGTAAAAAATTAATTAATTATATATATATATATATATATATATATATATATATATATATATATTTTAAAGATGATGGAATGCCTCAGAGAACGGCTGACTTTCTGCTGAAAGAGGCTTTAATACTTGCCTGAGGGAAAGGGTCGGCTGATGCAAGCAACACGTTTTCTGGTTTGAGATCACAGTGAACGATATTTTTAAAGTGAAGATGCCTCAAGGCCACGAGTATCTGTAAAGAAGAAAATCATCGAAATCATTTTACTTTGGCCTATTGGTTTATTTTAAAATGGATGTTGGTTTATTTCTACTAGGTTTATTGGTTTATTTCTACTAGGATGTAAGCTTAAAATGCCAACAGAGAGCTCACAAGGACCAGTTAGACTTCTTAATGCTCAAGACACTGAAATAAGCTAGATTAAGATAGCAGGTTTCTAAGGAAACTTTCATGGAAAAAGTAGTATTTTATGGCATTTACATAGCAGTCAAAAAATTCAATATCTAACAGAAATGACCATTATTGAATTTTTTCAAAGAGCCAGGGCTCAGCCACTGTATATTTTATTACCTCAGGAGTCCTACAGTTTTAATACAAGGGCCTTCATACACAGCATCCAATGTACCGGGCTCTGGACACCAGGGATATACATTTAATAATACAATAAGTCACTGCAACCTTTTGCTTATAGTTGAGACTTTGGAGGTAGGGGCCAAACAATCAGGTTAGAACGCTGCAGTTAAACAGTGATAACATTTGATATTAAATATTATCTTTGTTTCTGTCTCTAGTTGATTTCTTACCTGCGTAATTAAGAACTTCGTTATGTGTTCTGGCAACCTGCCCTTTTCACTTGACAAGATCATCTCCAGCATGTCTCCATGGAGTTTTTCCATAACAACAAACACTCTTTCAGGCGTCTCAAACATACACTCCAAATTTACAACGCCAGGGTGATGAAGGTTCTATTAAAGATAAATAAAGCACTTGAAGAAAATGATTTTTTTTAATACTGGTTGGCAAGCTCACAGATTATACAGAACTGCTGGAGCCACAAGCTATGGAGAAGCCCACAGTTAAGATTTTTAACACCTTTAAATTCCACATGTGCTATCTTATATTTTTGAAATTATGTCCAAAAAAATACATCGTAACTCTCTATGCACAGTGAAATTGTGTTTTTCTGTGCTGAAAACCTAAGTTCCAGCACAGTGAATTGCTAATTAAGTTTTAATTAGAATACCATATTGAGAAAGCTGTAACTTCTTAGGAACCTCTCCAATATTAAGCATACTGTCTTCAATATGCATGCGAGGCCACCTCACACCCTTGGTAGAAATGTAATGTAGAAAAGATGAAGCCAGTACATCTGATTGCACTAATGAAGCACATTAGTCAAAACCTTTTGGAACTGCTCTGCTAGCAGAGGCTGTGGTAGCTTACTACGAAAGCTCTGATCGTCATAAAAACAGCAAATGAATGAATGAATGAATAATTTCTGCACCCCTGCTTTGTCCAGGATACTATACTATGTGGTAGTCCTGCATTGTTCTCAATAACCAAATAAATATTTCCACTATAAAGTAATGGCTGGTAATGCTAGCCTGCATTTGGCTTGACATGTTAATTGTCACACATGTCTGGCAAAATTACTTGTAACTTTTGATGGGCATTGCAGTGATGCTTAAGTCTTAATTTCTGTCTGGGGTTATCAACAAAAGCCTTTGATCATTTGACCTTTACTCTTTTTTATCTACATGCAATAACAAAAAATCCTGCTATTTAAAACATGATTATATGTTCCACTTGTATTTCAATGAGAAACAGGAAAAAAACATTAACAAATCTATCTAAAGAATAAATTTAAAAAAACATACAAAAAACCAAAACACGTAGGAACAAACTTACATGCATTAACAGCTAAACAGAGAAAAAAAATTAATGAATGCTTTATTTTAGGGGGAAAAAAAACAGTGAGGGAAAGAATTGTATGTAAAATGAAGCTTGCACAAACTACTTGAAACCTGAAATGGCTCAGCATTCAGACCTCACAGATGAATGCTGGGTGAGGAGCAGCAGAGGGGACTGGGGAGCAGCAGAAGGGTCTGAGGTGGATCTGCATGTAGGTGTCCTCAGAGAACCTGGCCCTGCCTGCATATGGAGCCCCACTATGGTTGGCAGAAGCTCCCACGATGGTGACCTGTCTCACAGGGTGTCCTCTCACTACCTGGCAATTTTCATCTCTGCCTCAGATACCTGAGGAGTCTTTCCGATTCTGATACCTTGGTGACCATCATGCATTATAATGTGGTCACAGAACATCAAGTTTCTGAATGTGGTCTAAAAGGTGCCGTACATCCACCCAATGGCCTTTCACCTCACGGGGCTGAAGTAATTATTCTTGAAACTGTTAACTGGTCAAATATGGCTACTTTAGATACTCGGCCTCCGGAGTCACTTTTTCCTGGTCATGTGGAGAGTGGGTGGAATGAACAAAGCTCACACACTCACTTCTCAGCTCAGCCTGCTGCTTCTGCTGACTTTGTATTAGCTATGAAGGTTGAGGGAGAAGAGGGAGTCAGTAAATGACCTGGAAGCACTCCTACCTACATACAATGTCACCCCTCTTGTTCCTCTCCCTGAATTCTCAGAGGTACTAAAGTCCTCACTCAATATACTTCTTTTTCCTACTCCTACAACTTGAGTGATAGCTGAAAAGTATTTCCAATAGCACAATGACTTTATTTTTTCTGCATAGCATATATAGTATATAATAAGTTGATATTTTAAACGTAATTATGTATGGTTGAGACAAGACCATCATAAATGCTCACTCATGAGCTGTAATTTTTGCATTGAACCAAATGACCAAATTTATTTTTATATTTGACAATAATAATAATAATAATAATAATAAAAACAAAACCAAAAACCCAGATTATAAGGAATCATACTGTTTTTATCCAAAGTCTCTCTACCATACTGATGAAAAGTACTTTAGTCTAAAGAAGATAACATTTAAAGTCTAGAAATAGGAAGAAATGTAAGATATTATTTTCTGTAATCATGCATAATTCATATTACCTTACTAATACCTTAAGAACAGTTCTAAGGTAAGCTTCAACCACATTGGTTCATGTGACTTGTTTGCACTTTAAATTTTCTACTTAAAATATAAAATATATAAACTCTTCTATCTAAAATAGCCATTCAATCTTTTTCTCCTAATGTTCAAAGTAAATGGATTAATTTAAAAATGGCTTAATAACTGCAATGCCATGTCATTTATAGCATACTGGTGTTCAGAAAGAATTTTTGTTAACTTCTTAGTCCAACCTCAGGAATTCAAATAATACATTTTATGGCAGAGTAAGTACTACAAGACTTTCTGGCCATCTGTTTGTTGCATTTAAGTAATCTAATTTTCAGGAAATGAAACATTTGGTCAAGTACAGGAAAGAAGAGTGTCCATTCACACACAACAGATTGATGACACATCCAGGGAGTGACTAGAAGCTGTTTTGAAGTCTGGGGGGGAAATACCTTTTGGAGATCAAGATAAAAATGTTCCTGACTCAACTCGCCTAAAGAATTCTTATGTAATCAATGGAGACTATTCACTAAAAGCAAAGGCTTTCATAAAAGCAACAATATTTTATATCATAAAATAAAGACAACTAATTAACATCTTTATGTTCACATTCTAAATTGTTATATCTTCTGAATTCACGTGATTATTTCATTTGTACCTATATTTAATTTTAACGGTATTGGTTTATATATCATTCCATATATAGCTGTGATAAATTGGAGATGTCGTATTTTCCCCTTTCTTCTTATTTCATGATTCTAATACTTCAATATATGAGAGATGGTAAAGAGGAGAATTAGAATCAACAACATTTCAACAGGTTATTTAGGAGCAATACAGGTCTAATATGGGGATTTCTGACTACTTTTCTATAAAAACAAGTAAGTAATTTAGCTCCTACTGAGACATAGTGAAATAGTCTTAAAAGTGATGACTACAAGATCTAAAACCTAAATGCCACGAAAAGGAGAAGGAAGGATATTTGCAGTGGTGTGGGAGGGACTGAGGGCCTTTCTCAGAAGTGTAGCACTCTGGGGCTTTCGCTGATTCTCATTTCTGCCAGTTTGCCAGGGTTGAGAGAAGAACACACCATCTTTCCATTTTCTAATCACAGGCTCTTACAATTTATGCTTCCCTTAATGGCTCTAGAAATCACAATCACCTAATGTTTCATGAAGGGGAAATAGGATGTAATTCCCTGATAGATGCTAAAAAAAGTCATCATGGAGACAGCAGATGACTATAAAAAGACTCGTTTAGGAGAATACTCAAATTGATAAGGTAAGCTCAGCTCTCTCCAAAATTCCAGAACCTTATGCCCAACTGTGTTCTGGGTGTGTTCATTTAAAGGAAAGATGTCAAACAATAGGAATTGGTGTCTTTTCTTCCAAACTTATTCTTTGGTGATTCCTCTCTTGGTACATAGCCAGGCATTTTAGTCAGAAACTGAAAGTCATACTAAATAGTTACTCCTCCCTCAATTCTCAAACCAATTGATCTCTAAAATGAATAGAATCCACCTCCTTACTTTCTCTTACTCTAACCCCTCATCTTTATTGTCACCATGACTGCCTTGGTCTAAGCCTTAACTCCCCTTGGGATCTGCCACAGCCTCCCAGATGATCTTATTCTATCTACTCATATTCCCCACACCCACTTCCTTCTAGCAATCACCATACTGTTATCTGTGTCCATGAGTCTTTCTTTTTATTCTTTGGTTAATCACTTCACCTTTCTCATCCATCCAGCTCCAACCCCCTCCCCTCTGATAGCTGACAATCTGTTCTCTGCATCTATGAGTCTGTCTCCACTTTATTTTGTCCATTAGATTTCACATTTCAGTGAAATCATATGGTACTTGTCTTTCTCTGACTAGCTTATGCCACTTAGCATAATAGTCTCCAGGTCCATCAAGACTGTAATATTTATTTCCTGTTGTTTGTTGTTGTTATTGTTGTGTGTGTGTGTGTGTGTGTGTGTGTGTGTGTGTGTGTGTATTTTTGGCTGAGTAAGTAGTATTCCATTGTGTAAAAGTACCACAGCTTTTTTATCCATTCATCTCCCCATGGACACTTGGACTGCTTCCAAATTTGGCTATTGTAAATAACACTCTAATGAACATAAGGTGCATATGTTCTATTGAATTAGTATGTTGGGTTTCTTTGGATATATTCCCAGAAGTGGAATTGCTGGGCCAAAAGGCCATTCCATTTTTATTTTTGAAGGTAACTCCATACTGCTTTCCACAGTGGCTGCATTCCCATTAACAGAGCATGAGGGTTCTCTTTTCTCCACATCCTCACCAACACTTTTTGCTTATTATTGATGGTGGCCATTTTGGCAGGTATGTGGTGATACCTCATTGTACTTTTAATTTGCATTTCTGATGATTAATGATGTTGAACCTTTTTTCTCTGTATCTACTGGCCATCTTTATATCTTTTTTGGAAAAGTGTTTATTCGTGTCATTTGCCCGTTTCTTTCTTTTTAAAAAATATATTTTATTGACTTCAGAGAAGAAGGGAGAAGTCCAGAGAGATAGAAACATCAATGGTGAGAGAGAATCATAGTTCAGCTGCCTCCTGCATGCCTACACTGAGGATCAAGCCTGACAGTACATTTTGCATCCAATATGGTAGATATTGATGTCCTCTCACAACCCATGTGCTTTGACTGGGAATTGAACCATGCATGACCTCCTAGTTCATAGGTTTAGGCCAAACCACTGAACCACACCAACCAGGTCTTTGCCCAATTCTTAATTGAATTATTCGTTTGATAATATATTTTTATTGATTTCAGAGAACAATGGAGAAGAGAGAGATAGACATCAATGATGAGAGAGAATCACTGATTGGCTGCCACATGTGGATT